TAATTGAAGGAGTCTAGGTGAATTTCTGGATCTTCCTTCCTAGTAAACCTTGGGGCGTCTATCTTGACCTTTTGGGGGAAGGGTGTCAGATGGACCCTTGAAGTTAACGGGGACCCGGCAAGGGGTTTATCCCGGTCGTTCTTCTCCCCCACTTTCTTCTACAGCCTCTCCAATTTGGCTTCCATCTGTTGGACGCGATCACTCGACATGGTTAGTCGATTAACCACCGGTCTGCGGGGTTGACTCTCTGCTTCTTCTTCTTGGCGAGAAGCCCTTGTCTTGGCAGGCTCTTGCGGGTTCGACCGGGAGCGCTGGGTACGGGCAAGCTCAGCCTCCCTCCCCTTTCCCAACCGGGCGAAAGCGCTAACATGGGCAACGCTCTGCCCCAATCTCAGCTTGCACATGGCCATGACCTGGCCAAAGCCTTGGATGGCTTGTAGGTTGGCCGGGTCATTAATGAACTGGGTCATGCTTGGTGGGAATGTGACCCTTGGACCAGTAGAAGGGATTGGAACCGTGAATGGCGTCGCCATGCTTGGTGTAGGGATGTGAGTTAATCCCAGCGACATCACAGAGGCAGAGTTTGATGGTTGGGTAACGACCATGGGGATGTTGACTCCCTCAGTGGTAGCTTACACCTGAGCAGAGGTAGCGTTGATTTGCTGGCTTGAAGACATTTTGAGTGGTGTTTTTGTTGGTAGGTTTGTGTGTTGATGAGAAGAAACCTTAACGATCCTAGAGTCGGCGCCAAAAATGATGGTGTAAATTACCTAACCAGGTAAACTATACTAGACCGGTCTAGTATTGTTTACTTGATTCGAAAAGTGAAAAGGTAAAAACATACAAATGACCGGGAAGACTGTATGTGGTAACACATGTAGCCCAATTGATATTATAAATATAGGAGAATACACGGGAGCTTTTACAAGGGAGTTTAGAGAGAAGGAATTCGGATCCCCAATTCTGGGGGGTTACACAGATATTTATACTAAGCTGCATGGGACAAACCGCTGCTTGCCTACGTTGAGGCACGTTCCTGGGTGGTGGGAGGTGATGGCCTTCATCCTCTAGCTGCTTTGTCACCTTGCGAGGAAGATTTCTCCTTTGTCATGTAGCACTTTGGATAGATTGTTCAAGCATCTCTAGCGATCTTCCACTGATCTTGGTCGCTACGGTCCAAACCCTTTTGGACTCTTCTCTGCCGACGCTTCACAACCTTAGAAATCATACAGGGTGACTTTTAAAGGATGAGCTTTCCGAAACGGGTGGTAAACGAGGTAATAGAATAGTTTGACCGGTATTCTATCCAAAGTATACCGGTCATCAACTTTGACCAGTTGAGTATACGAGCATCTTCGTTGACCAGTCCTAAGTGGAATACACCCATCAAAAGTAGTTTGACTAGTATACTATCTGAAGTGTACCGGTCAACTTTTTGGTCAACCAAGCATCCTTTTAATGATGATTAAGGTCTCCCTTTCAAGTATAATCCACTTGACCGGTTAATTATTTGGTCATTTCCTTTGACCGGTTTTGGGTGGAATTCTCCCATCAATATTTATCTACAAATAATGTAATCTTCATTCTGAAACAAAATAGTACATATTCTCAAATAACTTAGTGTTTATTCTCATGTAAAATAAAACACATGCATACCATAAATATTTTCTTTTTCTCTTACGCCACCCGACCAGACGGATGCGGAGCACCTCTCTTTCCATGCAACAGCTTTCTTCCTCGATCGACCTCTCCTTTCTCTCCTACGCGACGCGACCCGATTAGGAGCACCTCTCCTTTTTCCTCCGATTGACGCAGCTCTTCTTTTTTCGACTTATTGGATGTATCCAATTTTGGATACAACCGGATATATAATATAATTTGCGGAGTTTCACTAATCCTTCCACCTTTTTTAGAAATTAAACAAGTTTATGGTTGTTTCTTTTCAGCGACAATGAAGCAAATTTTACTCATTTATTGAGATTTATTTTTCTTAATTTGTAGTCTCTCCATCTCCAAATTGTATTCTCGTTTCGGATTATGATGTTTGATCGAATTATTTACTATTTGATTTTTATGAATAATGTTACAAAAGTAAAATTATATTTTATATACGAGTATTTAATAGCGTTTAGATAGTTCTAGAAAACTAGTGCAAAATTATTTTATTTAATCAAATGATAATTTATCATCATAAGAAATGAGTAAATTATTTAAAGACAGATTAAACTTATAATTTTATTTTGCAATTAAAATTAAATAGTTTCTGGTGGTGTAAAGTACTCCCTCCGTCCCATAAAGTGTTACCCATTTTGACTAAAGTTGAAATTAAGGGAGAGATAATTTTGTGTTGACTTTCTAAAAATACCCTTGATGTGATGGGTAAAAGTAGGATGTGATGTGTAGATTATTAGGAAAAAGGTATGATGTGATATGTAGGGTTTGAAAAAGTAAGGGGTAAAAGTGGTGTTTTAATAGAAATGGGTAAGGGATTGTGGGACGTAATTTTTTTGAAACATGTAAATCTTTTTGTGACGGAAAGAGTAATTTATTAGGATCACACAAGTGACCGTGAAGGCATTATACCTGTAGCATAATTGTTACTCCCTCCGTTCATAAATAGATTACAATTTTTTTTTCTCTTTCCTTCCGATAACTTTTGTTTTTTTACGTGATTTCATAAAGTATTTGATAAAATGTAGAACTTTTGACGTAGTTTTTTAATATATAACTTTTTTATCTTATTGATATACCAATTTTGAAATAAAATAATTTCAAAAAGTAGAAAATATTACTCTGTAACCACAATTTATAATCAAATGGGTGATGGAGGGAGTATTATAAGGGGGGACGGGGGATTGGGAGAATGGGAGGTGCATACAAGGCGTGATAAATTATTTTTCACAGATTTAAGAGCCGTGAGCCCGTGACAAACATTGTGACACAATTGTCATGTCACACGCCATGACAGAATAATAGAGGCATTTTCAGCAATCTTAATAATCATGAATTAATTTTAATGGACAGATACACGGAATACAAGAATCCAGGAAATGCTAATGGAATTAAATTATAAAGTCAATCAAGATACATATAGAAGTAATGGGTCAAAGACCGATACTCCAAGCACGCTTACACAAATTTGAATGTAAAAAAGGCATTTCTTTAAAACAGCATTTTAACAGTTTTAAAACATTTTTTTTAAGACAGCTCACATATATCATACATCTGGATGCACGATATTTCCCCTACATCGGCATCAATACTCATTGTGTGTTAACTAAGTACTCATTTTCGAATGAGAGAAAATTCAATTTTGAGTAATTGAATGCTCTATTTTGGGCATAACTAAATTTTAGAGAAATGAGTACTCAGCTACTCAAAAATGAATATTCGCTTGCTTGAAAATGAGCATTTACTTACTCATAAATGAGCTTTCACCGAGGATGTACAGAAAATACCGTACAACCGGTTGTACAGTATATACTGCGGCACTTGTTAGCCTCATTGTACTAGCTATCTGCTCATCCCTCCTTGGGGGATCGGAGCCATGACAATTCCATTGTTTTGTTTTTCCACGTTTCCATGCCACCCTTAACAAAAAGAACAATAAAAAAAGTCAGCATTTAAAAGATTACAGAATGCTTCATACCAAATTAAAAGAAGAAATATTTGCACTAAATAGCACTAAAACTTAAGTCATTTCCTTAAATAACACTTAAATCGTTTTATTCTCTAAATAGCACTTAATAATGTCCATAATGTCCTGTGATGACAAATATTTGCTTGAATAATGATTATTTAAGTAAATTTCTCTTAAAAGAATTGAATTAATTACCAATGGACATGTCAAAACCACGGATTTTGAGCTCACGGTGCTCCTGGCAGAGCGCGCACGACTCGCAGAAGCAATGGAGCAAACAATCCCCGCAGGGGCGATCCCTCAACATGTACTGCTCCCGCATCTTCTTCCTGTAGAAGCAACTATACAAGCACGGACACCCCGTCACGCATGCCATTAGTGTGTAAAGCGCCCCATTCACTCCACAAGCTGCATCCAATTAGCTACCACATTATTATTCATGATCGACTACTTAGCTTGTACATATATATATTATTAGATGGAAGACTTACAACTAGAGCCCTTATCCACAATCTCCGCAATTCGTCCGAACGTGACACATGGACACCAGAAAGTCAGGCAACCTGATGTATACATGGATATGAACCATGGTTTAAAAACCCAGAAACTAATTCACCATATTGTGATTAATTACAGTACTTATTACATGTTTCAGTTGGGGGCGGGGGGTGAAGAAAGAAAAGAGAAAAAAAAAAACTCACAGTTACTGGGATCTGAGAAACATCCAAAGAGGCCGGTCGACCAGGGAAGGCGGGCCGCCGCCTTAGGCGCAATATGAGAGCCGTCGGAACTGTAGAATTGGGACGCCGACGAGGAGGAGTCAACCGGGTAGCCGGTCGTAGCCCTCTCACCGTAGTAAGAGGGTGCTTGCACCGGGGATGGTGCGAATTTTTGGTAATCAGAGCCTGAAGAATTCATGACGCAGTATGTGGTGGATGGGTTTTGGGTCAGCTGCGTTTTGAACCAATGATTTGGCCGGACAAGATATTTATGAATGGGAGATATATAGCGAGATATAGGCCTTTATAGATTACTGGTATATCTGTGTCTGACTTGGTCAACACCATTGTCCTTAATGCTTAGTGTTGACTCCGCATTGTAGACACGTTTTCATAATCAAATAGGGTCATGCTACACTTACACCACAAATTTTAGAATAATTTATCAAAATGCCCTGTAAATGTTTCGTATTTAGTGAACTACTCTGTAAAGATGAATTGACGGAAATGTCCAGGCGTGTATGACCGACGCGCTTCTTAGAAAATGAAAAGTTATTCCATTTAACGATGCTTAAACGGCGTTTCAACTTTAAATTTAAATAAAAAATCCGAGAATGGGCGAAACGACGTCGGAAGAGACTATACAAAAACCCTCCATAAACATCTTCCTTCATCGTGCGACCATTGAGTTTTCGATCTGTGTGTGCTCAATCCCCCCTCTTCGACACCTGCAAAACTTGATCGAAACCCTACCCATCCAAAGTCACCGGTCTCGGAAAACCTTGAATTTCTACAATGAGGACGAAGAATGCTTCTGTGTCTTCCTCCAAGAATGGAAACGATGAGTATCATGCGGAAGGGAGGATGAAAGAGCACAGCGGTAGCCCAAAGCCCACACAAGGAACACTCGAGGTCAGAAACATGATTTTAAATGAATTATTCTCTCTCCAAATAACCAATGGACAATGGTTTATGAATTTTTAGTCTGATTGACTTCATTGATCGACTAAAATAAGTGTCGACCTCTTGGTCGCACTAATTGCATATCTTTCCATATGAAATTCGTTGACATTATATGCCATTATATAGGTTCCGGCGATAAAGACGAAGGTAAATTCAAAGGACTTTCCACATATGAAGCTGACTGTGAAGTCTTCACTGCAAGACTTCCAAAAATTGATGAAAGAAAAGTTGTGCGATCATATGGAAATCCTTGAAGTGTTTAGGAGAGATTCTCCTTTTGGTGCTTTCCTTGATGTCCAACTTGTTCCCCCTCCAGCCATGTTATGGCAGTTGATGGTTAGGGAGGCTAATGTGGGAGGAGCAAAAGGTTCTGAAATGTGGTTTGTAGTAAATGGAGTTCCCATTAGATACTCTCTAATGGAATTTTCCTTGATTACTGGACTCAAATGTTCACAACTAGCTCCCGGATACGAAGAGCAGTATGATAAGGATTCACTGCGTGTTTTTGTTAAAGAAAACTGGTCAAAGGGTGTGGTATGTTACACTTCAGTTGTCGAGAGGTTCTCAAAATTGTGCCAGCTATTTGACGATGAAGGGAAGAAAGAGTATGCAGTCCAGTGGATAGTGAAGGTGGCGACATTGATGTTTGTTGTTCTCGTTTTAATTGGTCATGCTAAGAAAGATGCCTCAGTTCCGAAATGGATCCTTCCCACTGTTGCAAACTCTGATGATTCCATGTCTTTCCCATGGGGGACATGGGCATTCCTGGAGTCCCTCTGTATCCAATCTTTGGGGAAGGACTTAGTTTCAGAAAAAAAGAAGCTTGTCAAAGGCGGGAAAACATCAAACACCCTCCGATACACTGGCTTTGTCCTCCCCTCATCCGTGAGTAAATTAATTTAAATTGATACTAAAAGTTCCTATAAGGAGATGGCTAAATTGGGCTTCATTTATTGCTGAATGCAGGATAAAATCCAGGATAAAATAAATCATTATAATTTCGACCTAATAAACCAACTTCATCATGTCGACCCTATGTTTCGACTTTAGAAATCATTGATAATGTCGACTTTTAAATATACAGTAAAAAACAGATATATGTCGACTCTTCTCCGGCTATAGTTAATTATACAATCCTTACTGTAAAATTAGATGAATGTGTACCTACGTTGAAAGAGTCTTTCACCGATTAGTGGAAACAAAAAAAAGACGGCGAACAGGAAGCGAAAAAATGGGAAACAGCTAACAATAGCGGTGACAGCTGATAGGCGTCAGAGTATGCAATCGATTGGAATAGAAAATAGGCGTCAGAGTATGCAATCGATTGGAATAGAAAACGATGAAATTGGCGCGCCGCCGCAACGAGAATAACGAATTGCTTTGCTAGGGTAGAAACGACGCTCTGCTGCTGCAACGGTATGATAACGATAACGTAGCGATTACGGCTTAGGGGAGATCGGGAGAAGGATAAGAGAGTAATTTCACTTTGATAGGAAGGGTAGGTTAATAAATAAAATCCGTTTTAGGGTAGAGTGATAAATTACTTCCGTTTTTAGGGCATTTTGAAAAAGAACCCCAAATTTTACCCCGTTTGTACCCCGCAGTTATACACAAACATTTTGATGGTTTACACCGACACAAGTGTTGCAAAGTGGGGTACAAAAACATGGGGTACAAATAGCTTTATCCAATCAAATATGGCAACTCAAGTTTGTCATAGGTGGCAATTAGGTCAATCGGATCGGTTTCGGGTTGGATTTTTTTGTTTGGATATCTTTCGGATATATCTGAAATAGATTTTGCCTCACAATAAACATATTATGTTTATGTACATCGTGAACAATTACATTTGACATGTATGTATATAGAGTATGTGTTTATTATCCTATCACGGATCTCCATAAGCCCAGGCCCATAAAGTGCTGATAAGGATTCTTTTTCTGTCGCTACCTATTCGTCTCACTAAGGGCCTAAAAATAATTGTTAAAATCTCTCGTTTAAAATAACTTCAATTGTTGATTAATTTATTTCAAAGAATAACATTTTATTTTACTTTATGTATCACCTCAACTCGCATAACCCGAATACTCAAATTAGTGAACCGGGTTGCTACTGAATTGGTACCCAATCACGACTTAAATTTCAAAACAATCCAAATAATACTTCAAAACATAGTTAACATTCATCGGAGTAATAATCAAAACACGTACGAAAGCTTAATTCCTAATTCAAAACACAACTTAGGAATCATGCCCGTAAAAGTAATAAGTTAATTTAAATAATACTCCGTAAATAATAACTCAAAATTATCAAGAACTGCCACGCACATCTCCGCATCCTCATCTCCCTCCAGGATTGGCTTCAAGTTCCTCATTTCCTGGATTACCTACGTGCAGCAAAGGAACAAATGCTACACGCTCATCATTGAAGCTAAGTGATAAATATCTGAAATACAGCCATACCCATAGATGATCTCACTAGCCCATATAATCATACGATATCATGCACATAAACGTACATAGCAGTAACATAACAGTACACGAGAGTTATTTGGCTCTAACATAACAGTACATATCACGCTCATCATTCAATACCTCTAATTCTGGATTTGGCTCTTCTACCTTTAACAAAGGAGTGGAAAAATTTTGAGTTGCAGTCCCCATTATCCATCCATCTAATATTTGCCTTTTGTTGCCAAAGTTGTAGTTCATTATTGGTAGTAAGAATGAGTCCAGCTCTAGCTTTATGATCTGCCTCCCTGTTAGAATCGGAAGGGTGTAGTTCATAAGAAGCTTGAGCCAAAGTTGCCTTGAGTTCTGCTTCTTTGAGATTGGCAAGAACATCACCAAATTCTCTCTTCACTTATTGGCATTCTTCTGTATTGACTACACGGATGACCGAGTCGTAATGATGCCTTGGCCGGATGGGTCCCGGTGCTTCTTCCTTCTTGATCTGCACTAGCTTGGGCTTGAATCTGTGTTCAGCCTCTTTTTTTGCTCGTAGATGGGTTTCAGCTTCCGCAAACTTCCAAGCCGTGTGGTAGGCTTCTTGGTATGTGACCGGTGGCATACAAAAGAACTCTTTGTATAGTTCCCCTACACGCAAGCCATTCAACAAGAGGGACAAGACTGTCTTGTCATCCATTTCCTCCACCTTGTCCACCTCCTCTGTCCATCGGGTAAAGGATTGAGTTAGATTCTCTTATCTGATTCCCTTTGGCCGGCTGTACTGAGATAGGTTAACTTCTTCCTCTTGGTACAATTCTCCTGGAACTTGGCCTTGAATTTCGAGGCCAAGTCGCTGACTGAATCAATGCTCCCTGGGCGAAGCTTATTGAACCATTCAGTAGCTCGGTTCCGCAAGGTTTGAAAGAAAAAAAGGAACTTTTCTTCGTTTGTGCACCCATTCATGGTTGCACTTTTATTGAAGGAGTCCAGGTGAATTTCTGGATCTTCCTTCCCAGTAAACCTTGGGGCGTTTATCTTGACCTTTTGTGGGAAGGGTGTCAGATGGACCCTTGAAGTGAACGGGAACTCGGCAAGGGGTTTATCCCGGTCGTTCTTCTCCCCCACTTTCTTCTCCAGCCTCTCCAATTTGGCTTCCATCTGCTGGACGCGATCACTCGACATGGTTAGCCGATTAACCACCGGTCCGCGGGGTTGACTCTCTGCTTCTTCTTCTTGGCGAGAAGCCCTTGTCTTGGCAGGCTCTTGCGGGTTCGACCGGGAGCGCTGGGTACGTGCTAGCTCAGCCTCCCTCCCCTTTCCCAACCGGGCAAAAGCGCTAACATGGGCAACGCTCTGCCCCAATCTCAGCTTGGCCGACTTCCTCTGACCTTCTTCCTTATTCCCAAGCCTTTCAAAGGCGGAGTTCAAGAAGTTGTTGGCCGGATGGTTTTTCCTTTTTCTTTTTATGGGTCCTGGGAATGTCCCACTCATCGTCACTTCTCTCAACTGAAATGCAATGACCATCAAGAGTAATCTAGGGATTTGTACCCGGCGGAGGACGTGACGGCCCAACGGCGTTAAGCACACTGGTCAAGTTGACAGGGCCACCGTAGCTGCGACTGCAAAGGTGACAGATGTGGTACCGTCATCGGAGTTTGCAGGGGCATTGTTCCAGCGCCAGGAAGGGCGAATGGAAACATGCCATGGAGGAATGGCATTCCCCCATTCTGCTTGCACATGGCCATGACCTGGCCAAAGCCTTGGATGGCTTGTAGGTTGGCTGGGTCATTAATAAACTGGGTCATGTTTGGTGGGAATGTGACCCTTGGACCAGCAGAAGGGATTGGAACCGTGAATGGCGTCGCCATGCTTGGTGTTGGGATGTAAGTTAATCCCAGCAACATCACAGAGGCAGAGTTTGCTGGTTGGGTAACGACCATGGGGATGTTGACTCCCTCAGTGGTAGCATACACCTGAGCAGAGGTAGCGTTGATTTGCTGGCTTGAAGACATTTTGAGTGGTGTTTTTGTTGGTAGGTTTGTGTTTTGATGAGAAGAAACCTTAACGATCCTAGAGTCGGCGCCAAAAATGATGGTGTAAATTACCTAACGAGATAAACTATACTAGACCGGTCTAGTATTGTTTACTTGATTCGGAAAGTGAAAAGGTAAAAACATACAAGTGACCGTGAAGGCATTATACCTGTAGCATAATTGTTACTCCCTCCGTCCATAAATAGATTACAATTGTTTTTTCTCTTTCCTTCCGATAACTTTTGTTTTTTTATGTGATTTCATAAAGTATTTGATAAAATAAAAATTTTTCTGTCACCTCTTGTTTTGTAGAACTTTTGACGTAGTTTTTTAATATATACTTTTTTTATCTTATTGATATACCAATTTTAAAATAAAATAATTTCAAAAAGTAGAAAATATTACTCTGTAACCGCAATTTATAATCAAATTGGGGAAGGAGGGAGTGGGGGACGGGGGATTGGGAGAATGGGAGGTGCATACAAGGCGTGATAAATTATTTTTCACAGATTTAAGAGCCGTGAGCCCGTGACAAACATTGTGACACAATTGTCATGTCACACGCCATGACACAATAATAGAGGCATTTTCAGCAATCTTAATAATCATGAATTAATTTTAATGGACAGATACACGGAATACAAGAATCCAGGAAATGCTAATGGAATTAAATTATAAAGTCAATCAAGATACATATAGAAGTAATGGGTCAAAGACCGATACTCCAAGCACGCTTACACAAATTTGAATGTAAAAAAGGCATTTCTTTAAAACAGCATTTTAACAGTTTTAAAACATTTTTTTAAAGACAGCTCACATATATCATACATCTGGATGTACGATATTTCCCCTACATAGGCATCAATACTCATTGTGTGTTAACTAAGTACTCATTTTCGAATGAGAGAAAATTCAATTTTGAGTAATTGAATGCTCTATTTTGGGCATAACTAAATTTTAGAGAAATGAGTACTCAGCTACTCAAAAATGAATATTCACTTGCTTGAAAATGAGCATTTACTTACCTTGTGTTAAATCAAGATATTAGTGATAAAGGGATAAGAGTTATACAAATAGGATGTGTCGTTGAATGAATTGTTCCAAGAGCTTTAATCTATAATTTAGGGGTGATAATGTGTTGCTAGATACCGCTTATCACTTGTAGTATTTTATCGATACTATGGCCAATTTTATAGATGCCTAGAATAGGGTCACAGACATAGAACATATGAAAGTGTAGAATATTTAAGTGGAGTAAAGTTGCACTTTATTTATATATCGTGTATATTATATTGTATGACAATATGATTAGATAACAAACATATATATAAATAAACATTTATATTTGGACATTTTAATTATGTGATAATTAAGTTTGTCAAATATAATTAATAATAATAAATATATATATATATTTGGATATACATATGTATAAATAATAAATTAACTACAAATCAAATAATACCTTATAAATTAGAAAATAAAATACAAAAATTAATTTTAAATTTCCAGAGCTCTTAAAATCATATTTTAAAGTCTTAGAATGATTAAAAATATTTTTCCATAATTTATTCTGTTTTAATTTCTTAATTAATCAAATTAACTACAAAACAAGCAATACTTTATAAATTAGGAAATCGATTCCGAAAATTAATTTTAAATATACAGAGCTCTTAAAATCATATTTGAAAGTCTCATATTTAATAAAATTTAATTTTCGAATTTTCGAAATATTTTAATTGGTTAAAATAGTTTTTAACCGATTAACCCGAAAATAAAAATAAATCTAGAATTTAATTCAAAAATCATATTTTCGAATTTTATAAAGTCCAGAATCATATTTTGGCACTTTCTTGAATTTTGGATAATTTTAGAAAATATATACACATATATTTTATGTTATTAATTAACAAAAACCCTAACGGCAATTAAATCTACAAAACTTATAATTCTCATAAGTCGGCTCTGATACCACTGTTGGGTTCTACGCTTGAATAGGGAAGCGGAATTATAAAAAAATTGGTGTCCAATCGTAGATCCACCCAGGACCTCTTATGATTACTATAAGTTATTGTTTAGAAATATACCTTTATTTCTTGGCGAGCAAGCAACGATATGTGTAGGTTGATGGATTGATCCAAGAGCTAGCCACAAAAGTATATGACCTCCATTTGAGACACACGAACAATGTAGAGTATTCTAGAGAAAATTATACTAGTAATTTTACTCTAGAATATTTCTAAAATATTAAATATTTGGTGTAAAGTATTAATAGAATAAAACAATATTTTGTCTCTTAAAGGAATGCTAGGGCCGAAAATTCTCGAAGTGAAAAGGGGTGGGATGATATCCTATTTAAAAGGAGTATAATCCCCATTCCTATTCCTAATAGGAATGTTCCTTTTAGAGTTTAGGAAGGAAATCAAATCTCATTCCTATTCAATTTAGGAAATTTCAAATGACACTTTAAGGAAGCTTCCAATTTATTTTGTCAATTAAAATATTTCGAAAATTCGAAAATTAAATTTTATTAAATCTGAGACTTTCAAATATGATTTTAAGAGCTCTGTACATTTAAAATTAATTTTCAGAATCGATTTCCTAATTTATAAAGTATTGCGTGTTTTGTACTTAATTTGATTAATTAAGAAATTAATACAGAATACATTATGGAAAAATATTTTTAATCATTCTCAGACTTTAAAATATGATTTTAAGAGCTCTCGAAATTTAAAATTAATTTTCGTATTTTATTTTCTAATTTATAAGGTATTATTTTATTTTTAAAATATGATTTTAAGTACTCTCGAAAATTAAAATAAATTTTAGGTTTTGATTTTCTATTTTTCCCGACTTAAATAATCTTATTCGGTATTAATATAGATTAAATAGAAAAGGACAATTGAAATTCGGGATTATAATTTTATGAACTTAAAATTATGATTTTCGGACTTCATAAAATGTTTGAGAATTAAATTTGTAATTTAAGTATTTAATTATTAATGTTTGGGAAAAATAGTTTTGGTAATTCGGTATTTAATTCCCAAAATTTAAATAATTAATATTTGGTCATAATATCATAATATTGTGAGAATATGGATTTTTGGAACAATTATCATACATGAAAATAATTTTAGAAATGTTTTTATGGATTACAAAATAATAAATAGATTGTACACAAAACAAATTTTAAGTAAAATCTGGAAAATTTTTTTTTCAGATTGTACATGAGTCAAAAACTTTATTTTTGGAAAATATTGATTTTTGGAATATTTGGAACATTCTAAATTAATTTAACTCCTTTTGGATACAAATTCCAAAATACCGAAAATAAAATTTATTTAATTCTGGAAATTTTATTTTCAGAACAATACGGACCCAAAGTAAATATTTTTGGAATATAAATAAATAAATATATATATATATATATATATATATATATATATATATATATATATGTCTATATATATGTATATGTATGTATGTATGTATGTATATGTATATATATATATATATAGTTTTGTTCTGGTGAGAATGAGATCTTATGAAAGAAATGAGAATGAATTTGGGACGTTGGATCAAGCACTTCAATCCTTCAATCTTAGACATTTAATATGGCTAAATATGTATTTTTCTCATGTTTCCATATCTCTCTCAAATCATTCAAGCTTCTCTCCCCAAAATCAACCCTCAATTTTCTCTCAAACAATGAAATTTCTTTCCTAAATAAACCAAGATTCATGTTTCCATATAATTTAATTTATTAGTTCCCCTATTAGAGAGGCACCGGAAGCAGAGATCGGAGAAGAGTAACGACGACTGGGTTTCTTTTACCGGCGGTGAATCTTCTCGTGAGAGCCGGCGAAGGTTGTGGTTGACTTTCTAAGTGGCGGCTACTGCTCGAATGAAGATGGTGGTGTCTTCCGGGTGAAGCAACTGTGACGACTGAGTGGGGTATGAGTCCTATATGGCGGCATCCTCGATTCTGTGGCGGCGACAATCCTTTGATGCGGTGGTGACCTGAACGCGCTTCTAGTCGGTGATTCGAGCCGCTCAATGACAAAAGATAGGCAAATGAGTGTGTAATTACATTTTATGCACTAAGACCTTATTTAATTTTTTCAATGTCATTTTTTTGGCTTAATTGTTTATCAACAAGAAAATATTGATCAAGTATCATTAAGCGTTTCCTATTCTGCACTTTGCACAGAAGGTAGTGCAATATGGTTGCAGATTCTAACAGTGAGTTAAGATTATAAGTATACACGTTTTGTTGTTTAAACAAGATGGCCAAATTTAAATACAATCTCAAAGCATTTATCACGAAGGTGATGCACAATTGGTCAAAGATAAGCATTGGTTAGCCCTTATGCATTTGTTAGCCTTTTTGCTGCACATTGTGTGTATTTGTATTGCATTTTTTCTTTATTACAAGTTTCGATGCATTTCATTTTTTCTTCATTACAAGTTTCCATGCACATTTCTAGGACTTACTCCATATAGTAAATTAAATTGGTTACATCTCAATCATATTTAACTATATTGAGGCGGTGGTGCAAAAATTCACATGCTCACACCTATACATAAATTAAATTTTTGTTACTTTTTCTATTAATTAGTTGGAAACTTTTCACCTTGACAATGTTGGAAGACAATTTGATATTCATTAGTGTGTACATTAACGTATTTATTTTTTCATTTTTTTTGTTGTTTTTTGTTCATGTTGTGCATTATTAGAATCATGGATTTTCATGAGTATGTTATGCATTATATGAATTACAATAATGCATTATCATTAGAAATCAATGCATTCTCATAATCAAGGTAAATGATAATGTATTTTCATTATGTTAAGGTGCATTTTCATAATCAAAGTTGATGCATCTATGTTAAAATTCTCATAACACAAGTATGACGCACTTGAATATTTTAGATAGTGAATTTCCACAAACAATGAAGCTTTAAAATATTTCGTGTTAAGTTTAAATATGAGTTTTAAACATATTGAATGATGCAAATCTTAAAAGATTAAAATACATATTTAATATTTCTAAGTGCAAGATGAGAGTCTTTTTAAAAAAAACCATTTCTTGCCTATTAACTCAAATGGTAGAGAAGTGTGTACTCCAAATGTAGGTTCAAATCATGCATAGGCAAAATATTTTTCAAATGCATATTACACTTATTCTAGATAAAATATGTTTTTACGCTCTTTACTCACATACAAAGTCAATCAAGAGTCATTATTTATTAATCTACAACGATAAATAAATAATGCATGCATAATTTATAATGCGTATTGCAGTTATATATCAAAAAGATGCACATTGATAAAAATATTATCAAGTGAGGAAAAAATATGCAAAAAAATTTCAAAAAAAAAACTGATGAAAAAAGAGATGATTGAATAGTATTTAGAAAAAAAGAAAAAATAAAATTATAAACCACACATTATTTCCTTTCAAAAAAATAATGTAAAAAAAATAAATAATTCTATTTCACTTTGAGAAATGCATTAAAATAAAGGAAAAAAGAAATAAAATATTATAAGGATCTTAATAGTAAATATCACCCATTATTGATTTTGATAAAAAATAGTTTAAAAGAAAAACAATAAATCATTAACTTGACAACTCCATGATTGCACGGTTAAAAAATGATTAATATCACCCTCATTAATTTGACCACTTCTAAAATAATGGCTAAAAATTTGGGCCTTAATCTGCACGGATCATTCCCTATTTTAATTAATACATCATTTACAAAAATACCCTTACTACTCCATCTCTTCCCATTTTATTGCAAATGCATTAATACTTACCATATAAACAAGAAGTTACTTGTCAAAATATGAGCCGCGTGATACACACAATCTAATGGTCTAGATCTATTCTCATTTCTCTCCACAAGGTTCATTCTCACGGAACCGGCCTATATATATATATATATATATATATGTATATATATATATGTATATGTATATGTATATGTATATGTGTGTGTGTGTGTGTATATATATATATATATATATATATATATATATATATTTGGAAGCTGTGCTAACCAAATTTGGTTTCAGCCCACCTGTTGTTCATCTTTTAATGGGTAACCTTAGGGCAACTCACTTCTCTGTATTGGTAAATGGCCAGCCACAGGTTTTTTTCCCCATGACATGTGGAGTTAAGCAGGGAGACCCTCTGTCCCCTCTTCTCTTCATCATTGCCTTGGAAGGTTTTTCAAGGTTCTTAAATCATCAATTCTCCCGTGGATATATTTCACCATTCTCAGCTGGAAGAAACCCCACACCATGCCATCTTCTTTATGCTGATCATCCTTTTCACCAAAGCAGACAGCAGGAATCTATTGAGACTTAGGGAACTTCTCTCCCTTTTCATGAAGGCATCAAGATAGGAAATAAATTACTCCAAAAGCCAAGTTATAGTCCATGAAAGAATGAAGGCTGAGCAGCAAAACCAGATCAGAAAAATCCTGTCCATCAGGTGTCACACAATGGAATTTACCTACATTGGTTCTAATATTGTCAAGGGTAAACTGAGGAAGGTTCACTGCAAGGCATTGGTTGAAAAATTTGAGAAAAAAATAAATGCTTGGTACAGCAAGTAGCTCAATCACACGGGGAGGCTCATTCTCATCAAACACGTGCTATCCTCAATTCCTTTACATCTTATGGCTGCACAAAGAATTCCTAAATCAATTCTCAAAAGTTTGAATACACTTATGGCAAACTACTTCTGGGGAATAAACGAAGAAGGTCCAAAATATCACTGGAGAAAATGGGAAAAACTCTGTTTTCCATTTGAGGAAGGAGGCCTGGGACTTAGAAACCTCCTCAATAGCCAGGATGCAGCTTACATAGATCTGTGGTGGAAGGTGGTTACTGGAAATTCCATCTAGGGGGAAATTTATGAAGTCTAAATATTTCAGAGATGGACTCTTCTCCCCTAAGATCTATGACTTATACACGTGGAAGGCTGTTTGCAAGATCTCCCCTTTGGTCCTTCCACACTGCAGTTATCATGGTGAAGATGTGGCATGGCTATCAGGGACATACAGCTTCAAAACTGCCTACTCTCTCACGTTTGAGCACAAGCCAAGAATGTTCACTTCTGTTTGTATCTGGGACTAGAGGCAAATGGGAAAAATCAGCATCTTCCTTTGGCGGTTTTTAAACAAGTTGCTACCTTTCCCACGAAACCTTCAAAAAATGGGAATCATGATATACACACCTTGTCCTTTCTGTGATGAAGTGGATGTTGATGAACAACATATCTTCGTAGGCTGCTCAATGATATCCCATATTTGGCAAACTTACTCTCTGGTTGTCAATGCACCTTCGGCAGGAGGAGATTTAACTGCTCAGCAAATCATTCTCAGCTGGTGGTTTTCGTCAAACAAGGGCAGCATCAAAGGGAACTTGAGATTTATCCTGCCTGGTCTTTTATGTTGGTCTGTTTGGAAGCTCTACAACTCCTTTCTCTACCAAGGACATAAACCATCCATCAACGGGCTGTTGACATCCATAAACAAACTCACTCAAGCTTGGTTTTGGGCAAATAAATTAGATACCACTTTTTTGTATAAGTCATCTATTTTTCAAGTGGGCATTTGTAGTTTCCAGAACACTAGATTATAATCCCTCCTTTTTTTCCCTATTGTTTAATAAAGTTTCCTTTATATATATATATATATATATATATATATATATATATATGGGATTGACTCCGGTTAGATGACGAGTTTCGGTAAGATGACGGTTCCCATCAAATGACACGCATGCTTCATACTTCCGTTTCATTTCCCGTTTCCTTCCCCGTTTTCTTTCCCATTTCCATCTTCTTCCCCAATTTCATTCTTTTCCCGTTTCCATCTTCTTCCCCAATTGTCGCCGATGCAATCTTCTTCTCCATTTTTCATCCTCTCTTCTCTAATTTCATTTTCTTTCTCAAATTCGAATCTGAAATCCCTAGCCGCCTCTTCAAATAATCTTCCTAATCACTTTCAAATTCATCGGCTTCTTCACGCGAATTTTATCTGACCTCTGCATTTGATTCCCAGATATGGAAGACATCGAATTCAACTTGTCATTGGATTAGTCAAGGGTATTCCTTCTTTTTCATCCGTTGGACAGCATACTACTTACCAGGTAATTCGTTCTACTCTGTTTCTTTATGCCTTTTTAGGATAAGTTTTTTATGAGAATTTATCAAAAAGAGCTCTTTTCTACGTGATGAAAGTAATGGAGAAAGGCATGACACAAGTTGTGCCTATTAATTTGTGAGAATGGTGATTTGAGATACCTGATGGATTCTCAATGAGTGAATACTAAGATTTATTTTGGTTGCTATCTTGTATATTCATCCTTAATATACAAACAAGAATGTGGAAACTCAGTAATGTTTTGTGAGTTTTATCAAAATGTTTGGCGAGTTTTATCAAAATGGATACATTCTATACAGGCTTTCAATGGACCTTAAATCCTAACTGAGTGTCTAATTTAAGAGAACAATAAATCCTAACTGAGTGTCTAACTGATCCAAGCACAACTACTGGAGTCACAAGTTAAACACATAATCAGGACACAATTAACATCTATTATGTTACACACTTACACGTCACCATAATGAGCATTATTAAGCTGTAAACAGCCAACATGGAAATACAGAAAAGACATTCAAACATGAACATATGCAACGTAATGTGCATCATTCTGCCACAGCAGAAGCCTGTTGTCTTATGACCTTCAAAATGTATGCTCTTTTCGGCTCTAAATGTTCCATTTTTGAATTGATTTTCTCCAGATAGATAAATAAAAGTGCAAAAGAAATTGAACACGGTTTATGTTCACTTTTCCTCATGATAAGAAATTATAGTTTATGTTTATTTTCTCCCTCTTTGACATATTCTATAGGTTGCTTTTATCTTATGCAAATGGAAAGCTATTTAATTGATTCTAGTTTTGTACAAACGCCATCATTTGCTTCTATAACTTTGGGGAATTGGGTTCCTAATGTACTAGACAACTTAAAGATTAAAATAGGTCAAGTTTTTTTGAGTTTTGTAGAATGCCAAGCGTTCTACAATCAGTATGCCCGGGAATCAGGGTTTAGCATACGTTGTGGTTCATCTTCAAAAAGTAGAAATGGGGATAAAACTTGGAAAACATATGTGTGTTCAAAAGAAAGCTTTAGGAAACAACCTAAAACTGGCCTTGAAGTTATAACCCATCCTCAAGAGCAGGATCCCCTTTCTGAGCAGTATCCCCTATCTGAAGAATCAATAAACTCAAAACAACCAAAAAGAAAGAAAAGAGCTGAAACTCGAGAAGGTTGTCGTGCTCGTATTTTAGTTGTGTCATGTCAGGAGGGTGTTAAGATTATTCAGTTCGAAGAGTCCCATGTCCATCCCATGGTTACTCCAAGCAGAAGACATTTCCTATCTTCATCGAGGGAAGTTTCTACATCACACAAGCACATGTTGTATAGTGCTAGTAGAGTCAATGTAGGTCCCTCTAAGGTTTTTGATGTTACGGCTGAAGTGATGATGGGTCATCAAAATGTGGGTTGTACGAAAAAGGATTTTTTGAACTATCAAAGAAGCTTGAAGGCCATCATTAAGGACAATGATGCCCATATGTTTATTGACACGTTAAAGAGGAGAAAAGAGACAGAGCCAGGGTTTTACTTCGCATATGAAGTGGATGAAGAGAGTCGCTTGAAGAGAGTGTTTTGGGCTGATTCATTAANGTGATGATGGGTCATCAAAATGTGGGTTGTACGAAAAAGGATTTTTTGAACTATCAAAGAAGCTTGAAGGCCATCATTAAGGACAATGATGCCCATATGTTTATTGACACGTTAAAGAGGAGAAAAGAGACAGAGCCAGGGTTTTACTTCGCATATGAAGTGGATGAAGAGAGTCGCTTGAAGAGAGTGTTTTGGGCTGATTCATTAAGTCGTTTAAATTACTCTTCATTTGGAGATATACTCTCATTTGACGCAACACATGGCACGAATAAGTATAATCTTACTTTCTGCCCCTTTACTAGTGTGGATAACCACCGCAAGTTTTTTTTTTTTTTGGGCAGCGTTAGTTTGTAATCAGAAAGGAGACTCCTTTATTTGGCTTTTTTCTAAATTCTTAGAGTCAATGGGAGGGAAGCAACCAATAAGTATAATTACTGATCAGGACCATTCTATTAGGTTAGCCCTTTCTGAAGTGTTTAAGAAATCAATACATAGGTTTTGCATCTGGCATATACTAAAAAAAGTTCCGAAATATGTGGGCCCCACTGTGAATTCATCTGAAGACTTCCATACACGTTTGAAATCCTGTGTTTGGTCCTCATAGAGTCCTGAAGAATTTGAAGAGGAATGGCTACGCATAATGACTGATTTTGATTTGTTGTGTAATGATTGGTTCACGCATATCTTTTCAATAAAGGAGAAATGGGCCCAGGTATATTTTAATGCCACATACTTAGGTGCTGTTGTAAGAACAACGTCGGGTTCAGAAAGCCAAAACCAAACGTTTAGTTGTTTGACAAACCAACTAATAAGTTTGGTAGAATTTTGGGTGCGGCTTCAGCATGCCATTGATACTCAGCGTGACAATCAGTACAAACAACAGAATGCATCATTAAATTCAAATCCCGTTCTAAGAACAGAATTACCCTTGGAGCGCCATGCACGGGAGGTTTACACACACACCAATTTTTATTTGTTTCAAGAAGAATTTTGGAATGGCTTATGCTACTGTGGTATCCAAGGGATGGAAGCCTGTTGACGGTCAAACAATGATAGCCGTAAGAGATAATCGTGGTGCAAAAGGGAAGCTGTACAATGTCCGTTATAGTGATCTGGCTGAAGAAGCTGCCACATGCTCCTGCCATTTTTTTGTGTCACAAGGAATCCCTTGTAGGCATATTCTATCAGTTTTGAATGGGCAAGGGTTTAGAGAGCTGCCAAAGGTTTATATTTTCGATAGATGGACAAAATATGCAAAGAAAAGAGCTGTTGTTGAAGGCACGGTGCATTTTGATGAAAGATTTAACACAACAAAGCTAAAGAATCAAACTTTATCTAATATCTGGTGCAATTTTTACAACTGCATGCTTCTAGCAGGGCGAGATTATGAGAAAATGAAAGTGATTTTAGAGAGTACGACTTCCCTTGAGCATCAACTCACTGATATGGGGCCAACAGTTGGAAATGATAAAAGGAAAAACTTGGAAACTTATTTTGGATGCAAAGTGCCTGATAGAGTTAAAATCCATCCTCCTACCATTGGAGTCACGAAGGGAAGAAAAAGGAGGATTAAGAGTGGTGTGGAGAAGGGTCAAGAAAAACAAAAGCACACTCGACGTTGTCGTTCATGCAACAAAATGACTACGCATGACAGCCGTAATTGTCCATTGAAAAACAACAGGTTACTTTTAAATGTTTCATTTTAGTTGTTTCATTTAACTTACATTTAGATTTTAATAATCCTTCTTTTATAGCAAAAGCAGCAGTGATGAAGAGTAACCAATATGCTCCCGTGGTTTAGCAGATACGCTGTTATTTAGGATCCTGAAAGAGATTACCTTGACAGGTATCATGTGCAATCTAATCTGATTCCAAATATTCGTCATTATATATAAGTAAAGTAATCAGGGTATTCATGTAAATATATGTCATATTTCAAAAAGATCAAGGTTCTGGGTGTCTTCTTACTCTAAGAAACTTCTCATCTGTTACAATTATCGATATGATCATCATCAAAGATTTTGAGCACTTGGGGGAATAATTTGTTTTATCTCTTACAAAGAATCCGCATCTTTCCTTTCTCCTCCTCCCCCCCCCATTTTCTTCCCCCAAGTGCTCAAAATCATTACAATTAGGCTGCTAGGGTTTCTTGAATCACCATTACAAACAGCCATGTTCAAGCCGTGCAGTGAGCTCCGGTAAACTGCAATCCTGTCAAATCCTTATTCTTCTTATTATTCTTTTTTTTGTTTAATTCTGTGTTCTGAAGAATTCATATCTCGGTGTCAAGATTTCTTTCTTTCTTTGATGTTACTGTCAATTTCTTTATAAAAAAAGATAGGGTTTTTCTTTCTTTCTAGTGGGTTTTTGAACAAACACGACTCAATTTGATCTAGAAATAGTTTAGCACAGTGATAATTCTTTGGATTCCCATATTTCTAAGATGCATCTTCTTCATCAATTTGAATCCAGTCCAATTCATAGCAGTCTTGAGTCTTTGAAATGATAACATAGTCTTGTTGATGTTGCTGACTTAGACTTAAAGGTCCTAAAGCTCAGCTTTCAGTTGAGTTTGGTTCTTTGGTTGTAAATTTATGATTGGGTATGAGTTTCTGAGTTAGTTAAGCTCATGAAGGGCATGTTCATCGTCTTTAATTTTCCGATGTGGGAATCTAACACACCAAAACCATCTCCATCTTCTACATCTAGTTCTAGAATCAGCCCGGCACTTCTTCTGAATAGTTTTTGTACAATTATGTTGCTTATTATTTGGATTATTAATGTTGATGCTTTGGTCATGTGGGAGACTGATTTGCTTTGCTCTTTTTACAGTGACTATCACCTGTTAACTTGGAAGCAAAACAACAATAGGGAGGTCTAGCAACTACTGTTTAGAGATTAGAAGAAGCCGAAGTTGGAATTTGAGCTCTGTATATGCCCCGTATATGCCTACTGTTCCGTCTTAGTGTCTTTTTTATTGCGGACTATGGAAAAAAAATGGGGAGTTGAATGCTTTGAGAGGTTTTATTTTTTGGTTGAAAGAGTAGATTTAGAAATCTTAAGACTTTTTGCCAGAGTTTTTTTTTGGTTCAAATGGAAATGATACTTGATGTGTATCATATTAGCACTTTCTTCTATCTTCTATGACTAATATTTATAAACTCCATGTCAATTTGCTTCTTTTGATTTGGATTTCTGTTCTACTTCTTTAAATTGAGAGTGTTGTTTTCAAAGTTGGTAACAATGCTGTTAAAATATTACTTCTATAAGGTGATCAAATATTACTAGGGAAGGACACTTATTCTAACATTGCAAAATTCATACAACACTAGGTCCAGTTTGGGGCCAACATTTTTTTTTGTCAATGCTTTTAAATGATGACTATATTTTTTCCCATTTTGACTTTTGGGGCAAACATTTTAAACTTTGAGAATAAATTACGGAAAAAATATACTACCTCCGTCCCAGAGTATTTGTCCACTTTCATTTTTACACACCATCCAATACACTTCTTTAATCTATTTTATCTTGTAATTTGTATATTAAAAAATTATGGAAATTATATATTAATAATCTATATGTTAAGACAAATCAAACAAGATCACACATGACTATATTTAGGCTTACACATTAAGAAAAATTTGATGAGTCAAAGTGCTTAGATGAACAGTTCCAAAAGTCAAAAGTGGACGAATATACCGGGACGAAGGGAGTATTAGATTGTGATAAAAATTTAAGAGTAAAAAGAATGGACACCAGGCACTTCTCACCCATTTCCTTCCGCAAATGCGCCACAAAATTGCCTTCTTGTTAATAACCCAATACATGGGTATAAAAAATTGATGAGCTTTCTCAATATATTTGGTGAGCTTTGTAGTTAAGTTTGGTGAGCTTTGTAGTTATGTTTGGCGAGCTTTGTAGTTATGTTTGGTGAGCTTTCTTAAATTATTTGGTGAGCTTTCTAGTTATGTTTGGTGAGCTTTCTAGTTATGTTTGGTGAGCTTTCTCAATATATTTGGTGAGCTTTCTAGTTATGTTTGGTAAGCTTTCTTAATATATTTGGTGAGCTTTCTCAATATATTTGGTGAGCTTT